CGGGAGTATAACTACCATCCTTGATTTATATATCACGATCGTATGGACAACTCGGGAAAAACCCGAGTTTATTTATTCCATATTCATAAAACAACTTGGAGATTAACCCGAGTTAAATTCTATCTACGAGCGCTAATATTTATATTTAAATATATTGAGATCCGTTATATCGAGGTTTTAGTGTAATTAAAGTAATAAATTAATTATTTACGCTTGAAAATCATTTAATGCCATTAAAGGTGCTCCTGTTGATTTTGAATCTAATCTTGATTCATTCCCTCTTTTGCGACCTAAATTGAAACGATTTTAATTAAAATTAAAAATAAATAAATAAATAAAATGATGTATTACTAATATGTTCTTGCGCGGGAATTTTCAAAAGTTCCAACACTCTTGTGATATCTTTAACCGTAACCAAATTAGCCAAATCGATTTTATAACGCGCCATAAAAACGTCAACATCTAACTCGCTAAATCCGCAAGCAATTAAACCCAATCGAATTTGTTCCGCTGCAATGTTGTATTCGTTTCTTTTCCTTGATAAGCCAGCAAAGAAACCGCATTTCATTGATTTACAAAGGTTGTGGAAACCTCGTTTCCAAAATTCAGTCATTTGCATCACTTCTGGCCCAACTGTCTCGTTGTTTTTAACGGTTGCGTAATTTCCACAAATTATTCCAACAAACATATTCTAAAAAATAAAAATTTATTACGTCTTTGCACTAATTAGTTGATTCAATTACTTACAACGAGTACGAAGAATACGACGAAAATGAATAAAACAAAAAAGATAGGTGCCATTAACCGATGGGTTTTTTCTAATTTTTCATAATTAAAATCTGCCAAAATGGTTCTTATTAAAGTAAACATCGAAGTTCCCAACGATGAATATTCATCGACATCTCTGCCGTAAGCTTGATAACCGAATTCAGCGAAAGCGATTAAAACCAAGAAGAAAATGATTGAAAAGTAGCATAAATAACGGCCACTCTAAAAAAAGTTACGCATTATTAAGAAAATTTAATTAAATTGTTTTTACCAAAGCTAATGTTCGATTTATTTGCCCGGTTAAAGCGCTCAAATTAAAATACTTAAAAATCTTTATGTAAATAAAGAATAGTGTAAATCCTTGGACGTTTGAACAAACGTTGTTTATATAGGCCAAATGTTGCAGGGAAAAATCGGTGATTAAAGCGCTATTTGTTTGTACTGAGCTAATCAAATCGATTAACATTAACATTGATGTTACTGTTAAAGCAGCGTGACAAATTCCAAGCTTAAAAGAAATAAAGTTAGATTAGAATTTATATGGATGCAAAAATGTTTTAAATAATAAAGCTAAATTAATATCATTTTTGTTTCTTAAAATGTTAAACTTTTAGGTGTTTATGTTTTTGAGATAAATTAATGTAAGATTTCATTCTTTCTAATAATAAGGATGTCCTGCTGTTCTGTCAACCTTTAGATCATATAGCTGGACGCTTTGTGATACAACTTGATCTCTCATTATATCCACATTTTGTACTCTGCCTTTGTAGTGGCTTTTAGACTTCTTAAGATTCTCAGTTCGATTTGTGCATCGCTCAAGAGCGGATGTGTTTTGCGATCGTGCGACAAGTGTTTTGTTTACATTGACATTATAGAAGGTCTAAAAACCCAACAAAATCTTAACCCTCCAATAATCGCCAAAGTGGTGTATACCACAGACGAAGATGAGTTATCTTTGGAGACTGACTGGATAATAGAACAAGCTAAAAGAAACAAAAAACGTAAAACTAAAATCTCGCAATTTATCCACCGCAAACACCAAATTGTTGGTGTTCGAACTCCACGTGACATTATAATAAAAACAAAAGAGGGCTTTATTATTAAATCGGAAAATTCCAAACCACAACAAACCATCAATTTAAATCTACTAAAAAATCAAAACATCATCTCAGAGTTTTCTGAATCAAGAAATTTTACACCATCTATTAAAAAAATTCCATCGGCCTCATACTCTGCAGTTATTGCTTCCGTTGATCTTGAAATTACAGATCAAGAAATTAGCGAACATCTGAACTCGCTTAATATANACACTAAAAAACAAAAATCTTCGAAAAAGTCAAGGTTGGCCATGGCAATTAAAAAAAACAAATTGAGCTGTCAACTTGCTTATGTCGTTTAAACATAAATGATAGTTTTTTGTTAGTTAAGTTTTTATTCATTTTAAGTGTTCAAAATGGAGAGTTACACATTTAGTGAACAAACTGACATGATTTTGACATTTTGGGAGAAATTTCCGAACCGCAGAGCGCCCAATCGAAAAACATTTTTAAGGATTGAAACCCGTTTAAGGGAAAATGGGACGTTTAAGCCGAAATTTGCTAACAACAGTAACGTAAGATCAGTCCGAACACCCGAACTAGAAGAAGATATTCTAGACTACGTAGAAGAAAATACTACAGCTGGTACTTTGGATATGGCGAGGCACTTTTTAACTTCAAAAACAACTGTCTGGAGTGTTCTTCACGAGCAACAGCTTTATCCATTTCATTGTTACAAAGTTCAGGAAGTTCGACTGGCTGATTACCCACTGCGACTGCAATATTGCCAAATAATGCAGCACAAAATCCAAGTTGATGATCAGTTTTTAGAAAAAGTGCTTTTTACAGATGAATCCACTTTTTCTAAAGATGGAATCATCAATTTGAGAAATTTACATAGTTGGGCGGAC